GATGGCCAAGGCCTCCACCAGATGGACAGCCGAGACTTTCGCCAGCTCCCTTTGCGTGAGCCCGGTGCTCCTCTCCACTCGGTACCAGCCAGGGCAGCTGGGGAAACAGGAACTACTCGGCCAAAACCCCTGAACTTTTTGTATTTTCAGAACTACAATTACAGGAAAGTGTTATTGCCCAAGTCTTCTGAAATATAATGGTAGTATGATTTTAATTGTCAGCCTGGAGCTGTTTTGTGGCAGACATTCAAGCAAGGCACACAAGGAAATGTGCCGCTGATGGAGATGAAAAGAAGTCGATGGGTTTGTCTGTCTGGATGAAAGGGATGCAGCCTGTGGCCATCTGATCCCTCTTCTCCAGGGAGCTTCTGTCACCGGACGAGCAATTGCTCCACAGGCTCTGGCATTACTATCAGCCCGGACTTGTTTTTGCATAAAAAAACGCCATATTGGTGGCAGTTCGATGAGTCTTCGGGCGCTTGCAGTCTCTATTTGCATCGACCAAGCAGTGGATGTTCAGCATTTCTAAATATAAGGGCCGCCTACCTCTGCCGCAGGGTCAGGAGGGGAGACAGGAATAGCAGAGGCAGAGATCCACAGCCTCGCCGCTCTAACCACAAGAATAGTTTTTTTTCCCCAGCGCTGGGAGCGGATCCCAGGAAAGCCGGCTGCTGCACGGACATGGCCCGCCCGGAGCTGTACGAGCTGCAGCACCGGCGAACTTTTTGCTCCCTCCCTCGCTTGCTCGCTCTTTACAGATTTCCTGTTCTGAGCTGCACTGCGAACGAGAGAAAACAGAAGAGCAACTGCAACCGTTTGGAGCACTCTCCTGCCTACAGTAACCAAGGCACCGCCGATTAATGTTTCCCCAGTTAATGAGATGCGTTCGGCTCTGGCAGAGCAAGTCTGACAGGCAAAGGGCTCAGCCACCTTACGAAACAGCCCCGAGCAGCAAAAGCATCCCCAAGCAGTGAGTGGTGACGGGCTAGCCTGAGGGGCCTTTCCGAGTCCTTGCTTCCACGGCTCTGCTTAACAGACCCCTGGCTCTCTCCATGGGCACCTTGGCTCTGGTGTTGGAGGTGGGAAAGGTGGCGAAGCTCCTCCGCGCCGAGGAGCCCCAGCGCCAGCCTGTAGGTAGGACGGGACTAGAAAGCACGACGCAGGCGCCCGGCTGGGGAGCGTGGGAGGCTGGGTTTAATCTAACCTTGCTTGACGCTAGTCTTTCAGACAATCCTCGGAGCAGATCCCACAGTGAGCACTAATGAACTAATTAGCAGATGCACAGGCTCCTTCCTAACCGGGAAGTAAACACTCGGGCTGCCTCCCAGCTCGTCTTCAGGCTCAGAACCAGATGTGCTCTGCAGGCAAGGACAGTCTCTTTGCCGCTCCTGCTATTGAAGACATTTGCTTGTTCGTGTCAGTGCTTCTCAGTTTCTCTTCCTCTTGCACCATTACTCAGTATTAAACTCTGGCCTGGGTCTGGGGCAAAGCTTTGCCCTTCTCAGCTGCGAGCACGCTGCGCTTACGCTCTGTGTGTGCACTCATGATGAAAACCTTCCACTGAGGGAACGCACAACAGGAAAGAGCCGTGATTAGCCAAAGGCAGTTACCAAAAGCCGAACCAAATACCCCCAGCGGGATGCCTCTGCCCTTGAGAGGGCATTACGGATGTGGGAAGTCTCCCCCAGCAAAGAGAAACACTTGTCTCCGTCACAGAGGCTCGCGAGGGCAGCCCCGTAGCGGGGCGTGCGTCACAACCGTGCTGAAAGCTGCGGCTGTGCAGGCGGCTTGGCAGAGCAAGGTGATTTCCACCTGAGAACAAACAGCTCTTGGGTTGCTCGGTTTGAGCAGCATCTGTGGCCCTGGTACAGCCATCGCAAGGTCCTGCCCTGCACACCCGATTTCGTTCTGGGCCTTGCTTGCACGCCATCTCACACAGCCAAGCCTTCCCCATCGGGGAGGAAACGTTGCATTCTGTGGGGAAGGGATGGCGGGGGGTGTTTCTTTGCTCCCACACCACCTTCTAGCTGCTAGCGGGCCCATGGCAAGTGGAAGCTGGCT